TATATCTGACCAGACAGATGCTGTTTCAATTGGTGGTACTTTGTATCACATACTGGCTTGTATTTTCGTAGCTTTTAATGTGGGACTTCTCTTTCATATAGTCCGTAAACCATACGTTTATATGCGGTAGGTTAATGGTACTTTTTCTATTTTTGATTCTGCTGACTTTATTCGGAACTCAATTCTCTTCCATCCAACCCTTCAGTTTACTATCTGAGTGTCATGGTATTTTGCCCTTTCTAGATGTTCTCGTAGAATGCATGGATTGTGTGTTTGTCATCAGTATCTTTCGTAAACCCATTTTTACAGCTTTGTACACAATTTGTTACTAAATTGTTCCCAAGTCCCACAAAATTCTTCTAATTTCTACCCTTGTTCATCGTTCTTTCATGATCTGTTCTCCTAGCTTGTTAAACGGAATACAGTCAGGGATTCAAGTAATTTCGAACGTAATTGTTATCCTACTAATGTCATTAAACGCGTATATGATAGTAAAATTAGAAGGTTTAAATAACCATTGGTTCTAGAAATTAGTCGGTGCCCAATTTACTTGAATTTGTCTTGGTAAGCCGAGACATGCCATTTGTTTGCTGACAGAATTTCGGCTCGTGTTCCTTCGTGCTACAACTCTGTCAAGTTGCGTATTGTTTTCCAGATGAGATCTGCGTTTCTCTCCTTACGCAATTCGTACCTGCCTATTTTCATACTAGTCGTCAGAAACGCGTTAAATGAACTTGTCCAGCAGTGGGTGAATCCTCCATTGGGTCGCATTTTCTGGATAATCCCGATTGTATCGCCGATTATAACGACGCATTATTTTTTTAAATTTTACATGGTGCTCGCTTGGTTCACAATCTTCGAATTCTTGAAGCTGTTTACATTGTTTCATCAGCCGAGGCTATGTAAACAAAAGGGATATATTATTTGCTCCTTACGTTTGATCATGGTATTATGAGTGTTTTTTTTTCCCATTTTATACACTTTTTGGAACTCCATATTTATTTTTAGTCGTTAATTTATTTATAATTAAAATCTATTTTAATTGTGTTGAAATTTTCCCTCCTCATTCGCTATTTATTTATGTGTCTTTCATTGTTTGCTGCTCGCCAACGATCATCTTCTGAGAAGGACGAAAAGGTCCCCTCAATTTAAAAACATATACACGTCAAATTCCGCAACACGTGCCTGCGTATTTGCGTTCTAGTCGTCAGAGGCGAGTTAAAATAACCTGTCCAGCAGTGGATGAACCCTTACTTAGGGTAGCATTTGCTGGATAATCCTGATTGTTCCGCCGATTATGACGACGCATTTTTCCATTATTCGGATTATTGTCCTCATCTGTATCTCTCCATATATATATATATATATATATATATATATATATATATATATATATATATATATATATATATATATATATATATCTGTTATGTATATAGGACGGGCAAATCAGAGCGTGAAAACGCAACGCTGATAACGCAATTGAACCTGCCTTTTTGCGTTCTAGTCGTCAGAGTCGTGTTAAAATAACCTGTCCAGCAGTGGGTGACTCTACACTGAATACCATTTGCTGGATAATCCCGATTGTTTCGGCGATTATAATGACATGTTTTTTTTCTCCATTTTACATAGTGCTCGCTCGGGTCACTATCTCCGAGTTCTTGAGTCTGTTTATATTAAATTTTTATCAGCCAACCCTATGCACGCAAAAGGAACCTATTATTCGTCACGTTCGTTTGACCAAGAGATTATGAGTACCATTTTTCCATTTTATACTTTTTTTTTTCACGTCGTATTTTGTTTTTATTCGTTCATTTATTTATAATTAAATTCTATGTTAATTGTGTCCCTATTTTCCCTCCTCATTCTATTTCAATCTAATTTCTTCTGTGGGTACAAGTCTTTGTGCATATATATATATATATATATATATATATATATATATATATATATATATATATATATATATTGTGTGTATTTAGGCAGCATATTTTCATTTATATGTTTATCGTTGCTTAGTGATCCACTATGTAAACAATGACAGACTATCATCACTGTCGTGTCCGTATATTGTTTAATATGTTTGTGATTTATATCTTTGATAATGGCTTAAGTAAGCCGAAAGCTTAGATTATATTAAAATAATGGATAAATATTGTGAATTTCTTTCTTCGTTTAATGATAATGTTATCAAACTTATCAGAAGATACGAAAAATTTTACATAAAATAAATAGACAACACTTGTCTATATTATTTAATGAAATGTATATATATATATATATATATATATATATATATATATATATACAGTATATGTTTTTTCAATTTTCATATATATATATATATATATATATATATATATATATATATATATATATATATATATATACCCTGTCTGAAATTATTATGTAAATCAAATAAACTTCCACAATTGTTAAATTTTAACAAGTGAATTTAAATTACTTATATAATTTACATTGTTTGGACCGTTTTCCCTCATATTTATTGACAGTTTCACGACGCTGTACGCTACAGTCTTCTTCAGGGGTTTATACATGGCCCAGTGGATCAACGCGTTAATTGGATCCAGTGACTTGACTGAAATAGTTGGGAGTTCAATACTTTGCTACTGCAATGGTAAAAAAACACTTGGAGAGTTGAGTTAAAGCGAGATAACTGAGACATCCGGAAGAGTGAATGCTCGTGGAACGAGAACTATCTACTCAGGTTGGATTAAATAAAAGATTAAGTTCGAAATTTCAATTACCCGAAGAAGGCCGTTGCGTAGAAGTGCTGAAAATTCGTGAATAGTCGGCAGAGTCCTGTTAAATAACCTGTCCAGCAGGACATGGCTTCTCCATTTTCTGGATAATCCCGATTGTCTCGCTGATTATAATGATGCATTTTTTTTTCCATTTTACATAGTTCTCGTTCGGTACACTATCCCTCCTACTCTTTTTCTTTTTTATTTCTCCTTCTTCTTCTACACCAACACCTCCTCCTCTTTCACCGATTTCCTCTGTATTATCATTCATCATAATATTCCTATTATTCGACAGTATGCTAAATTACTTCTAAAATGTTCATCGGTATATCCTAACTGCTGCAGCCATTATAAAATCTTCTTTTGTCTTCTTCTTCTTCTTCTTCTTCTTCTTCTTCTTCTTCTTCTTCTTCTTCAACTTCTTTCCATCATACAACGTTCACTTTTTCGGATTGTATATCTTCTAATCTTTCTTGATTTTCTTCTTTTACTTCTTCCTTTTCTTCTTCATTTTTGCGTTTTACGTCATTCAACTTTCATTTTTCGCTATGTCATCCTATTCTTTGTCTCATTGTACAGATTCTAATCTGTCTTCATTTACTTTCCTTTCACTATTTTCTTCTTTATATCTTCTATTCTTTGTCGACTTTTTATCTCTTTAGATTTCCCTCTACGTGTTCTCATCATCATCATCATCATCATCATCATCATCATCATCATAACTATTTTCAATTTCTCTCTTTTTATTTCCAAAAATGTCTTTGCCTTTCTAATCAACTCCTAATTTTTCTTTTCTGTTTGTTCTTCCTTTCAGCATTCTTAAAAGAACAATCATGAACAATATATTTTGTTCCATTTAACATCTTTAAGTTTAATATTCACAGACGAACACCAGTGACTTTTTGTTGGAATATCGTGCATTAAGATAGAAATAAGAAAATCTTTGACGACACTCCCGGTGGCATAGGGTCAGCTTATTACTTCATTTGCATTCAAAGAATCTCTTGCTTTATAGTTTATCTTTGTCTATACGTCTAACATATATACGTACCATGATACATACTCATTTCTCCACACCTTCATATATTTATATTTATTCATACACTAATACATAAGAATACACGCATAAACATAAAATTTAATCTTTCACACACAGCCTCATACATCCATCCATACATATATATATATATATATATATATATATATATATATATATATATATATATATGTGTGTGTGTGTGTGTGTGTGTGGGTATAAAGAGATAGATAGATAGGGGAAGTGAGAAAGATAGATACACACAGGAAGAGAGATAAAGATTGAGAGATAAATGAGAAACAAAGATTGATAAAGGAAGAGAAAAATATATATATATATATATAAATATATATATATATATATATATATATATATATATATATATATATATGTGTGTGTGTGTGTGTATGTGTGTGTGTGTGTGTGTGTGTGTGAGTGTGATGATAGAAAAATAGATTGATAATGAAGGGAGATAAATAGATAGATAGATAAAGAAGAGAGAAACATAGATATATACGGGAAGAGAAAGATACATAAAGGAAGATAGAGATTTCATATATATATATATATATATATATATATATATATATATATATATATGAAATAATAAGATTAACCCGTCATATATTTCAGAGCTGACACCGATCTGTTGTTTTATGCTCCCAAAATATCATGTTGCATATTTAAATGCATCAGCTTTTCAGATTAATCTTCATCACATGACATTTGCAGTCTGATGAGCCTAAGGTTAAAATGTAGTTGCAGGTGCGATAATAATTTTTTATTTTCTTTTATTAACTTCTTTTTTTATATATTGTTATTTGAATACTGTTGTTCTCATTGCACTTTGTGTAGTTTAAACATTTACTTTAAATTTTAATAAAATTTGTTTAAAGTTTTAGTGATATATATATATATATATATATATATTTATATATATATATATATATATATATATATATATATATATATATATACTGACATGTTTGTTTTAATTATTTAGATATAAAATGTCCATTTTGTTTAATCCTTTCCTGTCCACTAATTAAATAGTGTATTTAACATAGCCCCCACTGATCCAAGTGAAAAAATAAAATTAATTACAGGCTATATTAATTTAATACAACCAACCATAATCATCCATAAATATTCAGCGATTCTTCTCCGTCAAGAAGCGTCTTCCAAAACACCAACATCCTATATAAATTTAAATTTCCTTTGTTAGATTCCATCTCTGATAAAAATGTTCATACCTATGATGGTTTTAAGACTACGAAAATGACGAAAAAAAAAAGCATACGTTTCTTGATTATTTCAATCTCAGAAGATTTAAAGAAACAGGTAGGTCCACATGCAAAGTTTAGACAGATATTTGTCGAAAATATACCAGTGGTTCATCAAGGTAACAATGACAAAAAGCATAAAAAGTAATAAGCAAAGACCGAAAATTCAGGAAGCCCTTAAGTCAACTACGAATATAGCAACAAACTACTTAAATGCAGCAAAGTGTTATATAAGAATACTAAATTAAAAGGGAATACTAAAATCTGTTATTATTTTCCTTCTTTCTTCCCCTTTCTCTTTCTTCACATCTATCTTGCTTTCCCTTAAATTGGTAATTGGTGAAACTTGACTAATGCATGGAATAATAATGCAACACAAAATGTACTTAGAACAAAATGTATTGAAACAAGAAAGTGTACACAATATTACATATAGTCTTTTGTATATTCCTGGTGAGACCGTTCCTGGAGAATGTGTTGACTGAGTCGCAGTCGGGCAGAGTCTCTGGTTGAATCTCGTGATTCCCTCCTCTCTTCCCGGTACCAACCATATTTATATGGTCGGTACTCCACTATGGAAATTAGGTGGATCCTACCACAACAGTAATATATATATAGGGTAAACCAATATTATTTATTCGAAAATTATAACATAAATATGTTATAACATTACTACAGATATAGCCGTTTTGTTTCAACATTTCTGGCATCACTTGATAAGACGCCAGTATGCTGAAACTAAATGACTATTTTTGTAGTAATCTTATAAATTTTGAAAATTTATACATATATATATATATATATATATATATATATATATGTGTGTGTGTGTGTGTGTGTGTGTGTGTGTGTGTGTGTGTGTGTGTGTAGAATACATAATAAGAAATGAAACCAGATATACTTGAGTTTCATTTTCGGTTTCAGGAGCGACAAGCCGGGTTAAATTTTGTCTTCCTTACTTCACAGTACCGGCCTTAAATATGAAGAACATTTTACCGGAAGTGAATACTATACGGGTTCCATATTTGATAGCAAATACCTTTTAGCTCATAAACACGTTATTATATTTTCAGCTGACTTAATTAACAAAGAATTTTGTAATGCAAACATCAAAGGTTTGACGGAGGACGTGTTGAATATAACGTATAAATACCAGGTGCCTTTATTCTGAGAAGATACAGTTATAACACTGCCATATAGAAATATGTTTGCAAAATTAAAGTCGAAAAGAAGAGTCAGTTAAATATAGGACAGATTATAGTGCGGAAAGGTAGGAGTTACATGGAGTACGGTACATTTTTTAAAGTTATGCCAGGACCAGCTGTTTTCCATTTTGATGTTTCCATAACTATGTTCTGTAAAATATACGAGATCAGACGTCATGACAAGACAACAAAAAAGTATTTAATATCTAATAATAAAGTCGGGTGGCAGGGTCTTCCCATGAGAAATATAGTAAAATTAATTGTAGTTGAAGAGACGATCATTTAATTTGAGGGTGTTACTCGGGTAAACATGATTTTATTTTTTTATTCTGCATCTTCCTCACCATTGCAAAATACGAAGTAGAAGATAAAAAGCCACTACTTCCTATTGAACACTCTTTATTATCAGCTCTGTAACTAACGAAAAATTCCCCTGCACATCAAAATAAAATTGTTTGCACTTAAAAATTTTCCAACTCTACGATATATCCCCTGCATTATATGGAGAGAGAAAGTTACCAAAATTGCCTTTTTAAAAACAGCAGGCACATGGAATAGTGGTCTTTGATGGCTGGATCACGTACATTGAATGAATGTCGATCGCATACCAAAATGCTTCATCTGTTTTGAGCTGACCAATGGACAAGTAAGGTAGTACGTCTTGCACTATGTTTGTAGGAAGGTTTGCAAATAGCAACTGAAAGTCATAGGCATCGAATCTGGTGTCTGGGAACAGGTACCAGACGATCGAGTCGGGGCTGGTCCCAGGCTGTTTAAAGAGTAATCCTGAAGGGCGTGAACGAGGAAAAAAACCAAAAAAAACAATTCAGACAGATATATATATATATATATATATATATATATATATATATATATATATATATATATATATATATATATATAGAGAGAGAGAGAGAGAGAGAGAGAGAGAGAGAGAGAGATAGTTAGATAGAGATAGTTAGATAGACGGAGAGCAATGTAATGTGCTATTCATTCGAAATTCTTCTTTCATGCCACAAATGCAGAAGCAACTGTCATGCAAATATCGGATTGTTAATCAGCTGCATACGCCGTTCACAAATGAATGGAATATATATATATTCATATATATATATATATATATATATATATATATATATATATATATATATATATATATGGTGAAATAAATCCGGTGGTATATAATCTAAGTGGATCGTAGTAATATAAAATATTAAAAATGATCCACAACAAGAGCTCAATGCATTTATTATTACAGAGCAAATAATCCCTACAAAATTCATTTGATGAATGGGCTTATTTCAACCGACGAAAAATTCGTCCTCTTATTCAACACCTGTATAGACAGAGTACTTGTCGGAATTAGAACGTGTGTAACTTTTACAGTTCTGGCTTTCACAGTTAAATTTCTAATTCTGAAATAAACGCAATCTATACCGGGGTTGAATAAGACGGACGAATTCTTGTCGGTTGAAATAAGCCTGGTCCCCATATGAAGTGATTTTTTGGTACTATTTATTATACATACATACATATATATATATATATATATATATATATATATATATATATATATATATATATAAATGTTACCATTCGTTTATATATTTTATCTACTTTCATACTATCAGCTTTTTGTGTAAGATTCGTGCTCAAGGGTGAGTTTTGATGTGTTTCGCGTCTTTCTGTTTAAAACTTTTCCTATCTAATTTCATTCTCCTTTATTTAGACTGCTGTCATAAGTAGATTTAAAATTAGAATTTTGCCCGTGTTTGAGAATGGCAATCATAACCACAGCACTACCTGAAGCCTACTCCTAAAATGGAAATATCCAAAATATTGTAATACGCCAGAGTGATGAAAATGAAGTTTATTTTGTTGCTAGAACAACGTTGTCATTCTCCAAATTACAGTTAAATTCACAAAACTAAGCTCAAAAACCACTACTTTCACGAATAGAGACATCGAAGTATTAGAATCAATAACGATGAATCCGAATGAATATAGTTCCAGGAAGCCGTATAAGCATTATTATATATTACGTATAATGATATAATATTAC